ATCGGATATTATCGTGGGTTTTGTAGGAATCTCGCCGACGTTGTTTTGCCCCTCACTAATCTACTTAGTGCCTCCCGAGATTTCTTTTGGTCAGTTGACTACCAATCTGCTTTTGAAGCGGCTAAATCCCTCCTGTGCAGCACTCCTGTACTCGCAGCCCCAGATTTTTCTAAACCCTTCAAATTAGAAGTAGACGCAAGTGCTGGTGGGGCCGGTGCTGTTCTGTTGCAAGAGGACTCTCAGGGCATAGATCATCCGATCTTGCTATTTTATACGTCGGTTCCAGCTCGCTACTCCTTATCGTGTTCACCGATCACAACCCACTCATATTCCTGTCGCAAATGAAGAGTGCGAATCAACGACTGATGCGTTGGTCACTATTACTCCAAGATTTCGCATTGGATATTCGCCACAAGAAGGGGTCGGAAAACGTAATTGCTGACACTTTGTCCAGAGGAGTATAGCCTGTCCCTGGAAAAATCAATGTATACAGGGGTGTATTGTATGATTTTTCTTTTTTAAGGAGGGGGGTGTTACGACCCTCGGGTGGTCATGTTTTTTGTACGTGTTTTGTGGTTGTGTTTCGTTTCGGGGGTGTGCCTCTTCGCCCATTACAGATGTGCGGCGACGGGATTGGCCAGAAGCTCACCTCTGCCCATTGGCTCCCGGAGGCGGCGGGAGTTTTAAAGAGCCGACCTGCGAGAGAGACCCAGAGAGAGAGAGAAGAGAGCGCACCTCCGTAACCTCGTTATCTCATGAGTTCGTCGTGTGGTTGTCTATGTGCTTAGGGTTTTCTTCGTGGTTTCGTGACGATCCGATTGTTTAGTGTGGTTGTGTTTATCGCTGTTTTCTGTATATATTTTCCTATATATATGTCCACTACTTGTACATACACCAGGGAGTAGTAGGGGTGAGCTGCCTTTTTTGTTGTTGTTGTTTTGGTTATCATCTTTTTCTCCTGTTTATTGAGTAGTTAGGGAGGCAGGGTAAGCCTTTGTCTTTTTCTTCTTTTCTTTTACTCTACTAAGATAGCCATCACGGGTTTCCCAGATAGTTTCCGTTTTGTTTATTATTTTGGCCTGGGCGCACCCCAAAGCTTTTCCTCCCTTGTTTTTTTCGGTTTACATTATCTGGGAATAAAACTTCGACGTTTTCCCTGAACGAGTCTGGTATCCACAGTTTATGTTGCGCCCTATCGCCCCTAGACTGTTGTCACATGTAGGGAGCAACCAGTACTTGCCAGAAATTGCTGCAATTCTTTTAATGTTGCTGTAGGCCTCTTGGCAGCCTCCCTGACCACTTTTCTCCTGGTCTTCTCATCAATTTTAGGGGGACGTCCTGTTCTTAATGTCACTGTTGTGCCATATTTTCTCCACTTGTTGATTATTGTCTTTACAGTGTTCCATGGTATATTCAATGCCTTGGAATTTTTTTTGTAACCCTCTCCTAATTGGTATTTTTCAACAATGAGATCCTGTACCTGCTTTGTAAGCTCTTTGCGGCCCATGGCTTTTCCAATCGGATGTTACCAAGAAGATGTCAGAAAAATCCTATAGGAACAGCTGTACTTTATTTGGGGTTAATCAGTCACTTTAATTGATGGCAGGTATAGACTAATTAGTATTTAACATGAGTTTGAATGTGATTGGTTGATTCTGAACACTACCACTTTTCTAATTATAAAAGGGTGTGCACACTTATGCAACCAGGTTATTGTACATTTTTTATTTTTCATTTTTTTTCCCTAAAATGATTCTTATTGTTTTTCACTTTAATAAATAGGTTGCAATTTCACAATAAAGGTGGAAAAGGTTCTGACATGATTTATCTTGGTTTCATTTTTTTACACAACAAAAACCTGCCATTCTAACAGGGTAGTGTAGACTTTTTATATCCACTGTATCAATCTCTGTGTACAACTTGCCGTAGGAACATACATACGCACAATCTCATGATTTGCGCACAGAGGTTTTTTGTCAGAGTTATCAAACACCACGTACGCCTGATTGTCTTCATTAATCTGCGCATAAATCAAATCAGCATGAGATTACGTGCACATGAACGTGCTTAACGTCCACTCCCACAATTGTTCTTATACGGACTGAGACACACCTTTAATTCATTGAATTAACATATAAAGGTCCCAGGTAAATCTGAGTGAAATGCAGATATTGACGTTGGGGAACAATGGCAGGATGCAAAAAAAAAACTATTTGGACACGGAGATTGAGGTCATGGTTGATGACGTGGAGAGGAGAAAAAAAATCCTTTTTGGAGGCCAGACTAGCGGCATTTCAAATCAACAGAAAAATGCAGAGTGGCTCAAAGTGGTTACTGCTATGAATGCAGTTTCACCAGAGATACATACGGTGGAGGAGGTGAAGAAGAAGTGGTCAGACTTCAAAAGAGAGGCCAAAAAACGAATAAGCGCACACAGGACCAGTGTGTCGCTCACCAGTGGAGGAGAGGCCAGTGAGGCACTGAGCCCACTGGATATGCGGGTGGCCAGTATACTTGGCCACACCGCTGTGAGGGGTATTGTGACGGAGGTGGAGGCTGACACTGACGTTTCCATGCAAGGACATGCTAGGAAGTGATCTGGTGTGTAACTTTCAAAATCTCTGCATGTTGAACAACATACAAGGTACGCATTTTAAAATTCAGACTTTATTTTATTAATATCTCCTTATTTGTAGTTTTGGGTGAGGACAGAAACTGCAATGGGCCAAGTAATACAATAACTGAAGGGGTTGGGGAGGACCAGGGTCTGTCGTCCAGCTCCCCACCGCAGCCAGCAGCCAGCCACCTCTGAGTCAGTGTGGCCATGTCCTCACTGAGGCGGTAATGGAAACGCAGAGAGAGACCATCCAGGCCATCAGGGCAGTGGCAGAACAGCTCCAGGAGACCAATGCTGTCCTCAGGGAAATTTCATCTACCCTGAAAGAAATGGTAAAAAAATAAATTGTTGAACACGTGCAGTCTATGTTCTTGTCATTTTTTAATTAATCCTGTACACACTTACCTAGTGCAAGTCAAATCTGCATGCCAGAGCAAGGCGCGCTTGTACGGCCGCAGGCTGTTCCGGTTGGGGCAGCAATGGGTCCTCGGGTGCATCTGGTCTCTCCTCTTTTATGGGGTAAGGGATGCCATTTTTTATTGCCATGTTATGCAGCACGGCAAATGCCCTCACTATGCTACATACCTTTGGGGGAGAGTACAACAGGCATCCCCTGCTCCCATCTAGGCAGCGCCATCTCCCCTTTAGTAACCCAACTGCACGCTCCACCACTGAACGTGCGCGCCTATGGATTACATTGAAATCCTGCCGCAGCCCATCCTGGGGGTTTAAGAAGGGAGTCAGCAGCCAAGTGCACAGCGGATAGCCATTGTCACCTGTGTGTTCAAAGTTTGATTAGGCTTACTTGGCTAAATCAAGAGGAAAATCGGTTTACATTAATGTGTTAATGTATTTACCAAGAAGCTAGCCATCACGCACTTCTCCAGGCAACAACTTTTGCCCCACACTGCTTTGTGAAAGAATGAAAGAATCATGGCTGGATCCAGGCCATCCCGCAACGATGTTTGTAAGTGACATAGTGGAGTCACAAATACATTGATTGAATGAAAGTGTTTTCGATTTACAAAAATAACTTCATCCCCTCTTGGTGCCCGTATTGCAATGTGAGTGCAGTCGATTGCGCCGATTACATTAGGAAAACCAGACATAGCTGCAAATTACGTTTTGATATTGGCCTGTTCCTCCGCAGAATAAGGAAACTTTATATACCTTGGAGTCATCCGGGTGATCCCTTCCCATACTATGGGCATGATACGGCTCAGAGAGGATTGTGATATTACCGACCTGTCTGCAAGCTCTCTTTGGAATGTCCCGGTGGTGAGAAAACCCAAGGTGGTAAGAACTTGGAGATGAACTGGTATTGCATGGGTTCTCTGCGTTTCTCTGAGGAGAACAGGCTCCAGTTCCTCACAGAGGCTGAGGAGAACGGCCCTTGGCAATCTAAAGCGACTTATTAGCCATGTAACATCATTGGTGAAGAAGTCTGCCTGGTCCCTGAACACACGTTCATGTCTGATTAGGTTATGTTCTATATCTTCTAAAAGCACTAGCACAGCCATACTGATTGTGAATGCTTTAATCTTATATGTTGTAAATGAGCCTGTTATATAGAAGTACTCATTAGAAATGTTTGATTACACATGGTGATCTGTGACGTTTTATTTTTTTGACTGTAATGCCCAATTACAGTGTTAATATAATAATGCCAAATTGACAGTCAGATAATGTCTGACCAATGCATGCGCGATAACACTCAACAATGATTGACACAGGACCCGTTTACCTGCATCACCGTTAGTTCCTCTTGGTGTCGCCACTCTGCAAGTTACAAATTTTATGCGTACGCCACCTCCAGATCAGGCGCAGAGGTATGCATGTTTTCGCGGGAAGTATTGTATCATACATACGGTTTTATGTGTAGAAAAGTGCTCAGCACCATTTTAGTACGTATGCACTGTTGATACATGTGGCCCATTATGATGTAAACTCCTGTGAAACAGTGAAATGCATTCCTCTCCATTGTCCTTCTCAGATGTTTTTGTTTTAATAGGAAAGCCCAGATTCTTGCTTTTCTTGATAAGTTATGGCAGGCATTTTGTTTGTTTGGATTATCATAGATGGTGGTCATTGTACTGAACAGTGTAAGTGTAAAGTCCCTTTATATTTTTGGGCTTTTCTGACATCAAAAATCAGGATATTTCATTACATTATTGGCATTTAGCAGATGCTCTTATCCAGAGCAACTTAGATCAGTTACAGTTTTTTTTACAATGTTATCCATTTATACAGCTGGATATTTACTGAGGCAATTGTGGGTTAAGTACCTTGCCTAGGGGTACAGCAGCAGTGCCCCAGTGGGGAATCGAACCGGCAACCTTTCCTCCTCCTTAACCACTATGCTACACTGCCGCCCAAAAGGGGGCAACTCTCTTGGGACGCGAACTCACAACCTTTGAATCACTCCACACAGTCTTTGACTAGAAGTCCAACATGCAATCCATTGTGCCATAGAGCCCACAATTTCAAATGCATATTTATTGCAAAAGCATTAAGACAAATATTAATACAAAATACAGAACAAAGCATGAATATAATGTTGAAGAAACATCATTTATGTTAATGTTCAGTGCAATTTTATTCATTTCCATCTTAATTAATACTTTTAATTAAGATTAAAACAGTCAACAAAATGATAAATAAATACTAGCTATGGAGGATCTATAATCTTCCAGCATTCAGACTTATTGCCTTGACAAGAAAGAACATAAAAACAAGGAATGTAATTTAAAATTGCTAATGCTGACAGCATCAGAAATAGAATTTGTCAGCTTACTACAGCTTTACTGATGCCAGTGTATGGTTACAAACTCCACAACATGATATGAATAAGAGGAAGACCTGATCAGGGATTATTATGTATTTGTAACCCTAATCATTGGAGAATATTACCCAAGGGTGTGAGTGTGTGCATTAAAAAGTGCTTGTCTGAGTATGTCCCTGTGTTTCTGGGCTGTTTGTTAAAATGCACATATGTTTTGTGCTGGAGTATATATGCATGTGAATGCATGTTTGCGTGTACTGTATGTGTCTCTGTGTGCTCTGTCCCACACTAGTTCACTTATAGTTGTGGTAGATATGACTAGAGGTGACATGGAGTGACTTGAAGATGTCATACTTTAACAATATTTAGACGTATTACTTTTTCCACATTTTCCTTTTAAGGTCCAAACTTACAACAATGTCACAAACACACCAGAATTAATGTGATAAGATGACTCGTCTCACAAACAGGAGAACTAAGGCACCTGTGCAGATATTACTTCATGACTGAAGGAGAGGAATATATTTTTTGGGTCAGGCAGCATGGTGTAGGTTGTCACAGAGGTGCCGTGGTGAATCCAGTCCTTTAATGGTTACACAGAGATGAACCATTTCAACAGTCTATTTCAACCAATGCAGTATGTCGCTGTGCCCGCCTTATCGAGCACCGTGATTTCACAAGAATGCAAACTTATGCACTTCACTCAGTGCAGGAGCGCACGGTAAGTGAAACAGAACATGCACACAGTCAGACCACCCCCCCACGCACCCCCGGTCTGCTCACCCCCGGAGCGATTCCCTCCCAAAACATTTGTGATCTCTCTCTCTTCCTGAGCACTGGCAGTATCTGCCCAAGCGAGGCAGGCAGGCACCACCTCACACCCACACAGTGTTCGTGTTCTCTGTAGGCTTCTCCTGTGCAGAAAAGGACAGCATGACTGCACAGAACCTTGTCACTGCATCACAGCCCACTAGAGGACAGCAGCAGCTTAGTCCTGACACTTTGGGCTGCAGCACAAGGGACACCCACACATCATTTTCCTATGACAGTCTCACTGTCAGAATCATAGAGTTTATCTTATATAGCTCTGCTCCTACCCTCAGAAGGGAGATACAGCTGCTGCAAATGGCTGAAGCCTACTTTAAAAGTATACCAGCATTGTTTTGGAAATCTGCTTGTCTTAAATGAGCAGAAAATGTCAAGGATTGACGGGGTGATGTGACAGTCTTAGCCAGAGCATCCATGTCCCTTTGTCCTCTATTTCTGTCAGAACATTTTCTGTGTGAATTATGCTGGCCATGCATTCGTTTAAATATATGTTCTCTGGCACAGAGGACTAAGGTGGCTACGTCACGCTGGTGTCGGAAGTGAAATTCCCCATTCATTTTAGTCATAGACATTTTTTAAAACGCACTTTTGAAGTACTTCTAATGATTTATGGCTTACCATTGATTTCCGGATTATATATTGTGATCCCAACTTGCAACTCATATTGTTTATTTTAATTGTTTCAAGCTAAATTTTACGTAATTTAAATATGCTAGTACAACCAAGGGCTAAAAACTACACGTCCCATGAAACCACGGAGCTTTCTCATTCCCGCTCTTCGGCCTTGCTAGCTAGAGTGTGGCGAATCATTACTATCAGCTATCGCTATAGAAGCTAACTTGCAAGCTTGTCTTTAGCAGTCATCGCTATCAGCAATAGCAAGCTCATCGTTAGCAGAAATGATGTCACTTAGCCATATTCTCCTCTTCTTTAAGAACGAGACCCGAAATTTTCAGCGGTACGAAAACCGTTATAAATCAGGGCATGTGGAGGAATTCAGTTGTTTTGAGGGCCATATCACCAGTTTGGTCACGGCGAGCATGAAGGATAAGACCTACAGGGTGTCAGTGAGTGTAGGCCAGAGTAACGTTAGGTAGCATAGCTAACCAGCTAGCTAGCAAAGTCAGGTTACCACATCATAACCCATTGAGCTTGCTAAGTGGACTGATTGTTAGCCCACGATTTTGAATGATGAAAAACACCCGAAGCCTTTGAGACATATCTACAGTCAGAAACACCTTGATGTTTAAGCAAAAAGATAATTCTGCTTACACGTGTAGATTTGGACACTCGACTTGAGTGGAAACGCACATTCAGTTAGCTACATTTGATAGACGTCTCTCTGATGGTGTGCTCACAGAGATAACTTTAACGGTTTCCTTAATGTATTTTGGAAACCTGAAAAATTTGCAGTCGTTCACATATGTACGGTGGCTGCAGTCCGGGACAAAGCACTGAACCATTTTATAACGATCACGGTTGTTTGTTAGTTAGCTAACTACCAACTGTCGTCGTCTTTGCTACTGTGTCTTCCACTAGCAAACCTAGCTGGGTTTTCTCAGAGCCAACGGTTTTCTAAACCGAACATCCCAGAATGCCCGGATGAGATGGTGGTATCTGATTTGTCAGGACGTTCCCCCCGCAATGCTCTATTGGATATGTCATTCGAAAAGTGGACTACAAAATGAACTACAAGTCTTAAATCTTCACATTTTCGGAAAATATCGAAATATTTGATGCGTCCAAATATATCCTCACACTGAACAGGTTAATTCAGGAAATTCCCAGCTCCTGAAATGAATCCGAACTTGAGTAAAGATGGATAGTGTGCGAAGCCCATTGTAATTTTCCATAGGGAATTTACTACTGACACCAGTGAAGAACCAGTGATGACGTACCCACCTCGGTACTTTACAGGCCTAAATATTCACACATATTGATCCAATAAGTGAATATATCTTTCTCAAGGATAGAATTTACCATGCTTGATCAAGTGTTTCAATGAATGTCATTACTTAGCAAAATAGACTGGAAGATGATTTTCAGGATAAAGTAAATCTTTTTTACATAAATATTTCATAGCCTTTCTATTTTATAGCCAGTCGTGTTTTCCTTTGAATCAAACTTGTATGTGTTCCCTCCTCTTTAACTCTGATGAAAAAGCCAAGTAGATTTGAAAACCTCATCTAAGTTGTCTGTAGGTTAAGGTGCCTGTTACCTTCTGTTGCTGGATGTAGACCACCGCGTCATGGACCGTGACAAAAATGTGCTGTGGGTTCATGTAGTTCATCAGGCCGCTGGAAGTCAGAATCTTTAGGACACTCTCTACAGGAGAGGAAATATGAAAGTAAGTATTAATCTCTCTGCCTTTAACCATTTGCTCAATTTTAAGCACTATTCATGAATGCGCCATCCAAAACTCAATTTAAAACTATGAGCTGTGGATTCTTTTACAATGTCTTAAAGGAACTGTCCTGTGTCTCCTGCTGTAAAGCAGTAATAAACGACGGGTAGCAAGTTCTTGCAGTTATTGGCACTACGGTGATATGGTCGCTAGGTTCTACTTGAAGTAATTCATTATCACAAAGTCTAAATGTCGTTTCCAACTATATCTATTTTGTTGTGAACGATTTCGTATAGACTGGATATGTCAACATGGGGCTACCAACATAGCTAGCTAGTGAGCTAATGTTAAATGTCAACTCACTTCAGGCCTGTTGTTGAGTCATCACTGCACACCGATAGCAGCTAGCTAATGGAACAGGTAATTTAGCACTCTGGAGTAACTCATTTTTATGCAGATTGATCTGCACACGAAAAGGTACACTTTTTGAAATACGAGTCCAGATGCTTGCCAAGTTGGTCCAGCCTTTCTCAAAAGGCTTCCAGTCTGAAGACAGCACTGTCTTGTGGCCACTCGCTGACATGATCTTCCTAGTTTGTAATCCCAGGGTCCATGGACAGATTATGAAATCAAGGGCCCCTGGGCATGAAAGCCTCCTGGACCCCCAACCCCCGGGCGCGTGCACACAGCAAGAAGCGACTCACAGTCCAACCACCCTGTGCTTATGTGACATATTAAACACCTGTAGATAGCCTACAGGATTTACACCACATCAACACATGATGCAATAAGCTATTGCATGTATTTGAATTGCCAACAAATAGCACATTAATGGACAAAATAAAAAGACACCTGTATAGCCCATCATACAGGATTTGCGAGACCAATACCACAGGCAGTAGCATTATCCGAATCGTCAACGACCCACGTTGTTAACTTAATACATCTAGGCTATGCCAACAGAAAACACAAAAAATGTGATCTCATACCAAATTAATAAAAACCATCATTGTTGTTTCAAGCAAACATCTTACCAAGATCATAAAAAATAACTAGACTACAGGCCTATAAGACAAAACCAAGCAGAAATTTAAAAATATATGTTCTTACTTTAAATGAGGGAAATCGACTCTGCCCGATCTGACGCAACAGCATCGCTGGTCCCAGTTACTGTGGCGCTAGCTAGCCCTTCCACCACATTGTTAAATAAATAAAGGTTAAATAAATAAAATAAAAATTGTTGTTCTCATCATTAGTTGTAGCAGAGCTAGGCAATTCACCGCTAATGTTAGCTTCATCTGGATTAGCATTTTTGCTAAAGAAGTTTGAGATGCTTGGCACACTTCCTAATAATGCTAGTTCTTTCTTTTTCTTTTCTTTCTTAATCTTAAGCTTGGCACCCCCACTTAAACGCCGATCCATGTTTGTAGACTAGCTCCCTCTGTTTGTCTGTCTGTCTGTTCGTCTTGTTCCCGCCCGGCATACCTTGCCACTGACCCAGCCTGACCTTTCACAACCAATC